GAGAGAGAGAGAGAGAGAGAGAGAGAGAGAGAGAGAGAGAGAGAGAGAGAGAGAGAGAGAGAGAGAGAGAGGAGTAGGTGAAGTCTTCACAGAGAAGGGGTTATTGTGTGTGTGAAAGGGTTTTTGACCCCTGGACCCGTTTTGAGCGTTCTTCTTGCTGGCTGATAATGGTGCGCTGGGGCCTCCTCGAATTGGATTTTGCTGTTTTGATGGGAGTTTCGGTAGTATGCGTCATATCGGCAAGACGCCTGAACGAGCAGAAGCATATGGCGACGCTACGAGAGCTCACCGATCATCGGATGAGGCAAGAGGAAACACGAGTGCAATTATACAGTCTGGAATTTGTTGTACATACGTCAAGGTCATGGATGTTCCAGAGGCAACAGGAGCTCCGGCCCAAGGATATGGGGAAGAGCAGGGAGAGGTCATGGATATGCCAGAGTCAACCGGAGCGCCAGGCCGAGGATAGAGACGAGGAGGGAGAGGGGGGCACGAAGGAGAAGAGGTTTGTCCATAAATCGATTCTCGCTGTGTCTGGTCTCAAAATGAATCAGTTGATGAACGGAATGCTTCCTGTCTCTTTCCCTCTCTCTCTCTCTCTCTCTCTCTCTCTCTCTCTCTCTCTCTCTCTCTCTCTCCCCACGTCTCTCCATTTCTCTTCTTCTCTTCCCGTCTCTACGTTGTCCATATATTTTCCCTGTCCCCAAATTCTACTTCCCCTGCCCCCCCGCCCCCCCCTCTCTCTCTCTCTCTCTCTCTCTCCCTCTCTCTCTCTCTCTCTCTATCTATCTATCTATCTATCTCCGTGTTTCTCTTTTTTTATCCTGTATATCTCTTCCCCTTTCCCTCGTGCGGCTTGATGAAGATGGCACCTCCCTCACACACAACTGTCAGGTTGTGTCATCTTGTGGAAGAGTGTTGGTTTTCAAAACTCAACTTGTGATTGATGTCTCTTTCTTGGCTCTCACTGCCCTCTCCCGTCTCCTTGAAGCCGCGACTGTTGTTCTTTGCCCCATCTTGTCTTTTTCCTCTGTAAGTTATGACAGTTGTCTGCGCTCTTAAACACGTGTCTCTTCTCCTTAAAGCGCCTTAAACACGTGTTTCTTCTCCTTAAAGCTCCTTAAACACGTGTTTCTTCTCCTTAAAGCTCCTTAAACACGTGTTTCTTCTCCTTAATAAAGCTCCTTAAACACGTGTTTCTTCTCCTTGAAACTCCATAAACACGTGTTTCTTCTCCTTGAAGCTCCTTAAACACGTGTTTCTTCTCCTTAAAGCTATATATGATGACATGATTTCGTCGTGGCATTGCAACCCTCCCTTGCACTTGAGAGGATTACGGTGTTATTGGCATCACGGTACTTGTATCCATGTATACACACACACACACACACACACACACATCCATGGACATGCAAACAAGAAAACGTTTGTTGTGGATGTGTCTCTGCAGGGAAATGACGGATTTGTATGCCTGTGCTGCTGTCGGTACCCACTAGGATGAACATGGTCACATTGCGTTCCACAGCTTCTATGCCTCTCGGCAGAAACGAACTATCCGTGTACAGCGAATCTACAGCTTTTGCGATGCGGCCGAGACCCCCATCATGCCACTCGTTAGACCTCTTGGCAGAGAGTAACTTCGACTTGGCAGAGAGTAACTTCGACTGTCTGTTTACCGCGAGACTCGCGAGTCCACAGCTTTTTTTTTTGTGGTGAGGTGAGGAATTCACGCCGGTCATCATGCTGAAGCAAGAGTAGCTGTCCAAGAAGCCACACTCAGGAAGAATTGAATTGTCCTGGGAACGATTGAATTGCTACTGCGGTTGAGCGGTACTGAGAAGTAAGTACGTGAGCGAGTTCCTTGTCGAGGAGGAGCGGGAGGTGCTGGTGGGTGCAGGGTGCACAGGGCGCACCCTCACAAAAAGACTCTCCCTCGGCTGTATCCCACTGTGTTATTGCTGCCACACCCGTCTTCACCCGAATGGAACGCCTGGTAATTATCCCTGTGCAAGGTCCATGTCGAGGAGCAGGAGGTCCTGGGTGCAAGTTGCAAGGTGCACCCTCCCCGAGACTCTCTCGTGGCTGTATCTGTGACTATTAGTACTGGCATGCCTGTCTTCATCCGAATAGAACGCCGGGTAATGATCCCTGTCATCGAGGCGTTCTATTCGGGGTCATCATCGAGATTCTAGACTGAAGTTGATCTCACAAATGCAGCAGCTATAATGACGGGGCATTCTATTCGGGTGAAGATGGGGGAGTGGGGGCAGTTCCATTACCAGTATGCCGCTGGGCTGTTTCAGGGAGGGTAACCTAGTTGGCAATGAGCAGATAGCAGATCGTCCATGTGCTTGTTGTCCACAAGCAGACTGCTGATGGCACACAGTTGCAGGGCATACTCAGGCTAAGACTTCGTTGACTTATTTCTGGAGGTAATTGCGGTCGGATACGTCCAGGTCCGACCGTAAATGCGGTCAGCTACATCCAGGTCCGGTCGTAAATGCGGTCAGCTATGTCCAGGTCCGACCGTAAATGCGGCCAGATATGTCCAGGTCCGACCGTAAATGCGGTCAGATGCATGAGAGTATGCCTTCATTTATTCCGCTATGGTGGTACTGGGACCACATTGACTGAATTTGGCGGTAATTGAGGTCGGATTCTTCGGAAGAGGAGAGGGCCCTGGTCAGCGCGAGGATGCCTTCCGATACTCGATCTCAGCTGTCTGCTGGTACCACCTGGACTGAATAAGGCCTCAGGACTCCGCCCCGCCAACTTAGTAAATTTGAGCAAGACTCTTCATCTTCCAGCTGAAGACCATAAGTTCCATGTCTCTGTACGTGTGCATATGGGCCGACTGATAGAGCGGAAGTGAAGGAGGAGGAGGTACTTGGTCAGTGCCACGCAGCAAATTTGAGCAAGACAATGAGATCCATGTCTCTGTACGTGCGAATATGGGCCGACTGATAGAGCTGAAGTAAAGGAGGAGGTACTTGGTACTTGGTCAGCTGTCTGCCCTGTACGTGCGAATATGGGCCGACTGATAGAGCTGAAGTAAAGGAGGAGGTACTTGGTACTTGGTCAGCTGTCTGCCGCATAACTTGAACTGATTAAGCCGTCACGGCTCTGCTCCACCACGTGCACAGTGTGGGCCGACTGATAGAGCTGAAGTGAAAGAGGAGGTACTTGATTGCTCAGCTGTCTGCCGCACAACCTTCAACTGAATAAGCCCTCGGGGCTACACGCTCCACCGCTTGCGAAATGTCTCTGCGTTGCAGCTGAAGACGGTAAGATCCATGCCACTCCACACATCTCGTGAACACTGCACGGAGGCCCTTCGCACTTGGACTCCAACTTCCATACTGTCTTCACCGGGATAGAATGCCGGGTCATCATCACATCAGTTTGCTATAAATAGTAACGAGTGTATTTTGCCACCTTTCGTGGGCAGATGGCACACTTCTCAATTTTTTTTTTTTTTTTTTTTTTTTTTTTTTTTTTTTTTTTTTTTTCGTGAACCGTGTGGCGAGGCCCGATTGAAGTTTAAAGCTGACGCATTCTATTTCCGGGAGACGGTGGTGATGTGATGGGTGCTGCAAATAGAGAGAGCGCTTTATTTGGGAGATGTGCAGTGCTGTTTGTTGATTGGATTGCCTCCCAGTGTAGCAATTGATTTCTTGACGTCGACTTATCTGAAGAAGCGGGGACGGACAACAAAAAGACAAAAGGGGTAGAGACTCTAGAGAGAGAAGAGTCGGGGGAGGAAAAAAATTGAGAGAAAGCTCAGAAAGGGGAAAAGAGGGAAAATAAAATTTGTTGACGCTCCATGATTTGGGCTAATCCTTTGAGCAGCAGCACTGTTTTTTTTTTTTGTTTTTTTTTTTTCAATTGAGCTGCCACCTGGAGCGGAAGTGATTTGCTGAGGTCCTTGAGGACTAAATGCTATATCTGATTTGAGCTGTAGTGTAAGCCTTTCAAGGAGAAGCAGTGTTTGTTCTTTGTGGCCTCTTCTTATTTTTCGGTAGGTTGTTTCTCGAAGAGCTGATCATCACGTTCGGTTTCTTATTGGCAGAAAAAGAACTCCACAGCACTTTTGGGACGTGTTATGTTTTCTCTTGCCTTGCGGGATTGTGACGAAGCCCATGCCCTACACACAAAATACGGCTGCGTGCGCCCTGTCCTTGTACACCAGGTGACCTAACGGCCGCCCGACTGTGTACATTCTTACCTCCAATGATAATGTGAAAAGCGATGATGTTTTGAATCATCTAATCTATGAACACTTCATGTCTCTTTTTCTTTGTCTTGCTGTTATGGACACTACAGAGCCTTGGGGGAATTACTTTCTCACAGGCAATCTCCGATCGCGTCAATGGTATACCAGACATGGTTTCCCTGAGCAATCGTCCACTTGGCCTCTTGTGTCATCCATCCATGTGCAGCTATGGTGGCGTTTGCCAAGTTAGCATGTGGAAGAATCCGGTAGCACAAGTGAGGTACATTCATCATTATTTATCTGTGCGCTTCTGTGCTCTTGTGCATGGAGCAAGGAAGCTCACAGGAGTGCTGCAAGTGCCCGTCTGTGGTGGGTGCAGGAATGTTTTTTGCAGGAGTTTCGTGAACACGTCCTCCCCTTTCCCTATATTCCAGTCAGGTGCAAAGGATGAAGTTCTGAGATTATGCATGGGTGGGCAGGTGGTACTCCCTTGCTTGCCGTTGCGAGTTTTCGGAGTCCACTTGCGCGGGGATTGGTAGGTAGTATGTGCAGATGGATTCACAATTTGGTTGCCCCCACTCACATTATTGATTTGGTTGCGGTATTCGCACTACCGTCTTCGCCTGAATAAAATGCCCAGTTTTGCATCTGGACTGAAAGTTGCCTCAAATGCAGCAGCAGCTATAATGACCATGCGTTCTTTTCGGTCGGGTGAAGACGGTCGCTGGTTGCGAGTTTTCAGAGAGCTTACTCGTGTGGACTTGCCCCCCCCCACTCACATGCGAGAGTTGGTTGTCGTACTCATGCAATTGGAATTTATTTACTTGTACGGACAATATTGCTGTCCTTGGGGCGACTTTCAGTCTAGAGGCTCATACAGCAATACTCAACATGTGTTCTATTCGGGGGAAGATGGCAGCTACTTTCCTGGATGCACCTGATCGCATTTTTGCGCTGATTCGTCCGATAAGAGTTGCAGTGTGAACATGCGCGCTGAGAAGAGATTCTCAGCTGGATGACCATGCTGGTGATGCGTGCATCTAATATCCATTTGAGAAAAAAAATTATTATATTAATTCTTTATGGAATATTACCCAGAAAATGAAATAAATAATTATATATTTTAAAATTAGATTTATTCTTGAAAATGAAGAATATGTTTATTTTATTCACCAATAAGGCTCAATATGATTTATAGAAATTATAATCAATTATTATAATACTTATTACAATACAAAAAATAATACAATAAATGACAAATGAAATAAATCATATTAGTAGTGCTGTTTGCTGGCTAAGATAGGTCTGTCCCTTACGGGGACTTGTCGCCAAGGAAAAAGCGATGTCCTAATACCCCTATATAGACGAAAGGGACGAATGAATGTGCTTGTAGCAGCAGACTATATTCATCATGAAGTAACACTTTTTGTTCTTTTCTTTTCTTTTCTTTTCTTTTTCGAGAGTTTTTGTTTTAATAATCATCAACTATGTATTTGTTTTCTTTCTTTTGGTATGCATCGACTGAAGTCGATGAATCTAATAAGTTCATTGATTCAAACAACCATAATATAGAGTGAGTTGGGTATATAATGTAATAAACTATTATAAAGTATTATAATTTATAAACAAAAAAAAATTGCTGACATATAGAAGACTTTTTTGAAAGTAGTTTTTTTTTTAATGTCCAAAACATGACTGCAAAAATAGCGATCGTATCAGAAGTTTTTTGGACTCAAGGCACTCGATAGCATTTTTTAATTTTTCATTGGCGCGTGATCGAAAGCGACTGTCAACGAAATGACTACCAAAATGTTCAGTCAAATTATGTCTGCGTTGCGTAAAGTCTCCGAGGATCCCGAACCGGTCGGCGGTCGCTTGATTCCAGACAATTTAACAACTCTGGAGGCGTGAAGCGAAGCTGACTGTTTGTCAGCTTTTCCCTTCCCGAGCCCACAACACAAACAAGGCTGCATTTTGGATGGGATATATGGCTCCACATTCTTTTAAACCACCAGTACTTGGCCCAGCTATCGGCCGCGGAAAAAAAGATAGAGTAGAAACGTTTCTGGTCGGACAAATTTGGGCCCTCCTTCAGTCGGACGAATTTGGCGCCCCGATTTGTCCTATTTAGTCGGAAGACGTACTTAGGTGTCCTATTTAGTCCGAATTTGGTGCTCCGTACTGAGGATGTGTCCTATTTAGTCGGAAGACGATTTTAGGAAACGTACGGACTAAATAGGACATCCTCAGCCTACCATCTTTCGACTAAATAGGACATCCTCACTCCTGTCATTACGTCAGTATATTCACACTGAAAGGTGGTGTGCCATATATAAAGGACATAACAACTGGGCGTTCTATGTGGGTGAAGAAGACGGTTGGCTTTTGTAGTCCTGTGTGCCTAATGGAAGCACTGGAAATGGAATGAGGGGGGGTAGATAGAGAGCATTACACTACTACCAACCAGAGAGAGACTGCCAGTGGATGGAATTGAGAACTGGACCAAGTTCCGAGACCAGGCGAAAGGCGGAGACTGGATGGAATTGAGAACTGCTGGACCAAGGTCCAAGGTCCAAGGTCCAAGGTCAGGCGAAAGGCCGGCACTGGACGGTATTGAGGACTGCTGGACCAAGGTCCAAGGTCCAAGGCCAGGCGAAAGGCCACTGGATGGAATTGAGAACTGGACCAAGGTCCAAGGTCCAAGGTCCAAAGCCAAACTGGATGGAATTGGAAGCTGGACCAAGGTCCAAGGCCAGGCGAAAGGGCGGGACTGGAATCGTGCGGGTCCATCACTTGCGCTAGTGCCACTTGTTTTTGTCCTTGTTTTTGTCCTTGCCCTCAAATTACCGATTGTTCTTGTCCTTGGCTTCGAATCCCAAGTGCAGAGAGATGCATTGGGACATGGGGATCCATCACTTGTGCCAGCGGCACCAGTTCTCTCATCCTTCAACCCCTGATCTTGAGCGGTAGACATGTAAGCAATTTGTGTAGTTGTGTAGCGAGTGCTAGACAGCCACTGGTGCGATGTTCATGCTAACGAAAGCACGTACGTGGATGTGATTACGACCAGGTGTGTGCGTTCCAAATGGCACGAGCATACCACCGGTGACATAACTGTTAATTGTTTGTTCGACGATGGTTGCATGAGGGGTGTGTAGACATACAAGCCTTTTGAGTACGCTGACAGTAGTAGCCTTATCGGAGACGGGTGTATCGGGGTGCGTTCTCAATTTTTAGTTGGCGTCTTGCAGAAAAAAGAAAGGGTGCACAATTCTGCGTATGGTGCTGAAATTGGTGGTGAAGGCTCATCTTGTAATAGGCTAAGCCCGTCTGTTTTGCTTCCGTGGTTCTACCGTCCAACCCCCGACATAGAATGCCAGGTCATTATAGCCGTCTTTAGGGCGACTTTGAGTCTAGTTATACGACCATCTTCCCAATTCGGGTGACGACGGCAGAGTTTTCTTTCGGGTGTGAAAAGACTGCAGGGGGAGCGCACCTTTGTCTGTATAACTTCCATGTAAGCCGGGGCCACGGCCCAGTCAGGGTGACTATGCCCATGCTGTCGGTTAAATCGCCACTGTCTCGGGCATCGGGGAGCGTATCGTCAGGTGCCTGCTGCTGGCCGTGGGGGGCTTGGACGTCGGTCGCTGTCAGCTTTTGCAAAATGTTGTGCCTTAAAACCACACACCAGTACTTGACCCAGCTATCGGCCGCAGAAAAAAAAAAAGAGTAGAAATGTGTCTAGTCGGATGAATGTGGGCGCGTTAGTGGCCCGTTAGTTTGCTAAAATTGTGACTTGTCAATGGGCATGACTTTAGGAAGTACTGGTGGTTTAACGTTGGGAAATTTTAGGAAACATGACTGATCGTCACTGATGAGAAAAATGAACATAAACTACTTTTAGGAAACATGACCGATGAGAAATAATGAACGTACGTAGACTACTTTTAGGAAACATGACCGGTGAGAAATAATGAACGTACGTAGACTACTTTTAGGAAACATGACCGATGAGAAATAATGAACGTACGTAGACTACTTTTAAGGAAACATGACCGATGACAAATAATGAACGTGCGTAGACTATTTTAAGGAAACATGACCGATGACAGTAGACCAATGAGAAAACATGACTGACTGATGAGAAAAATGAACGTAGATATGGGGAGGGCTGAAGTTTTTGGGAAAAATCGCATAATGAGAAAACATGAATGTAGATTTGGGAGGCTGATCTTTTTGGGAAAAATCACATAAGAAATGTTATTAATTTATTATCTAATAAAAAAATAATAAAAAAAAGAAAACATGACCGACTGATGAGAAAACATGAACGTAGATTTGGAAGGGCTGGTCTTTTTGGGAACGAGCACGTAAGAAATAGTATTAATTTATTATCTGATTAAAAAAAGGAACGATTTGATGGGAAAAACAAATGCTGGTGGTAAAAGAAATATTTCTTTTTTAACAAATTTCCATTCCTGCTGCTGCTGGGATGGTTTTGGTTCGGTCAGCCAGCCAGAGGCTGGGGAAAGTAGTGTTGCTTCGTACAGCTCCGGCGGGAGTCGCGCTTTCAAGTCCAGATGCATGTTTTCCAATTTCAAGTCCAGATGCATGTTTTCCAAGCAAAAAAATTAGCACCGGCGGGCTGGGCCTTGCCTCCCCCCCCCTTGCTGACTTTTCTCGGAAATGCTCATTGCCCGGATTGCCGTCACCCGAACAAAACGTGCAGTGGTCATTGCTATATATAGACTCTAGAGTCTAGACTCAAAGATGGGCCAAGGACAGCTTTTAGAATGACCGTACGTTGTATTGGGTGGAGAGCGTGGAGGTGATAGGAGGTGATACCATGCAAAGAGGCATGGAGTACTGCAGTTTGAAGAACTACGCATGCGTGTTGGCAGCTCATTGGCAGGTATTCTCTTCGTGTTTCAGTCATTTTTTCCCCGTTTTCGAATTTTCCTAGCATACTATACCCGGCCGGACGTCCGGGACCCCTCCAAATATCCGGGCACACGTCCCCCCGAGGCACTGCCCACCCCTACTGCACTTGACATAAATGGTTTCCCTCCTAGTATGTGTTTTTCGGACATTGTTACGACTTACCAGGGGCCAAGTCCCACTAGCAGCGTTCAGTTTCCTCAACGCCTGAATCTGGTCGTGTTTGTGGACATGTGCGGATGAGGAAACTCTATGCCATGTCTGCACATCTCCACAAAAACGACCAGATTCATGGTTTAAGAAAAGTCGACGCCGCTAGTGGGACCTGGCCCCAGGTGTCCGACGGGCGAACGTCCGGCCACAGGCGAATGTCTCCGTCAGACGTGTGGTAGGGTGGTGGTCCCACATTCTGGACAATCGATTTATGTTGCTGTTTGAAAGCCATGAAGTTATTCAGAATGTTTACACAAATGTGGGATGCAATCAAAGAGATCGTTATGTGGTGGTGGCGGAGACAAAAATGAATGCGCACGACCCACCAGCGCGCACACCCTGGGGGCTATGTGAGGGCGTGGAGAGCTCCAAACTTTTGGGAGGGGCGAGGAGGGTGGGTGTGGAGGGGCGGCGGTGTCACTAGACAACCTAAATCACCTACGTGTAAATAAGTTCGGAACAACCCACCACCTTGGTCTTTTTTTTTTTTCTGGT